TTTTGAAAAAAATGTCAAAATTTACCAGCACTGCTTTTGGACACTCCAATATTTTTTAATAGGGACAAGGTTTAATGTTGGCCCTCCAATAGTTTACATACATTTTTGACGTAGGACTACGTCTTTGATTTCTATATGGGGGTACACTTTGTGAAAACCGAAAATGGAACATGTAACAAATTAAGAAAGATTTTGAACGTTAATAACTCAGCTGCCTCTGGTAAAATTTCAATAACTTTATCACCAATCGATCAGAAATATGGCTACGCATCGATAACAATGCTTCCGAATGTTGGTTTTCAACAAGAAACTATTGAAAAACTGGTAAATTTCCAGCATTGTCCAAAAGCGTCTAATTAACTAACAAATCCACCAATTACCTACATGCATATGCTGCTTCCCCAGCACAGTCGTCAGAGAGTAGTAAGTAGACGAAACAAGTCGAACTGGCATTCGCCTCCGATCCTCGGGCGCGTGCGAATAGGGAGGATGGAATTGCGTAATATTCTGCACACACATCGTCATACTCAGAACTACACGGTCCCAACGACCACACCACTGTGTGGTGGTGTTCGGTCGTCGAAATTAGTAGCAGCAGTAGCAGTGCTTTCGGCGTGTGGCGTTGAAAATTGTTCTCCAGTAACAACGAAAGGCTGCCTGCAAGCAGCGAGCTGCAGAGCCCACATAAGCAACCATCAAAGGAGGAAGAAGCTGCACCGCTATGCTATGGATCGGAATCAGTAGCTCTTCGTGAGTCGCTGCGGGTCGGTCTTCTATGCCAAGCGTGTCACCCTCGCTCCAAACGACATACAGCTTGACAGCCTCATCCGTGTTGAACACCCAGCTCAGAATTACTCAACCATCACTACAAAACGGTCCTTTTCAGGGCCACCAAAAATTTGTAAAAGAGTTTTGTTTGGACATTGGTCAAGGTCATCAAGGTGTGAAATTGTTGTAGGCCTGAATATATTGGTGCAATTAGTTTTTCCTCGGCTTTCATTCCGCACGATTCGTTTCTTTTGTTTAATCAATCCCCCTTGTAGTGACGTTGAAAAAATTGTTTCAATGGGCGCTTACATATGAAATTTAATATGGATTATAGAATTTTTTGTATGTTACCAAAATTTATGAATGGTTTGCCACTAAATGTTGAGATAATTTATTGGTTATTAAATTATCACACTGTATACCATGAAAAAGCAGCCTGTTTGTGAGTTTTTGCCTGTTTTCAAGTAAGGAGTTAAAATCAGGATCATAAATCACAAATTGCTTGCGGGTATTTCCCGGCGACTTTACAAAAAAATAAAATCAAACCAAATCATCATGCAGAACTAGCTAGGATTTGTTTTACTTCATATTTCACAAAATTGCTTTCGAGTGTTAAGACATCGTCTCCCGCAAAGTTTACTTTTTTGCTCTACCAACACATACATCAGGGCTAAATAGATCTCCACAGGATCTATAGAATCCACGCAATTACAAAAAAAACAAAATGCACAGCATTACGAAAAGAGGTCAGGTTTCGACCAATAGAAGATAGATTTTAATTCGAAACAGGCCAAACGATTGGAAATTTATCTACCAATCTGCTAAAATGAACACTTAGTTAATTTTCAATAGGTCACTATTGAAAAATACCAAATGTCCAACTGTTGCAATGATGATCAAAATTATCACCGAATGCCTGAAAACAGCGCATTCCCTAACACAGACTTAAAAATCGAATTCGATGCGGTCCCACTGAACAGTGCTCATTCAATCACCGTAAGTGGTGGTGTCCAGTCCAGCAGCAGCAGTAGGAGTGCTTTCAACAACAACTACAACGAAAGGCTGCCTGCAAGCAGCGAGCTGCAGAGCTCATATGAGCAACCATAGAGAAGGAGGAAGAAGTCCCACCGCTAGACTAGGATCGGAATCAGTAGCTCGTAGTGCTCAGCTCAGCATTACTCAACCATCACTACAAAATGGTCCTTTTCAGGACCACCATAAATTTGTTAAGAGTATTATTTGGACATTTGTCAAGGTCATCAGTTCCCGCTAGCAGCTAGCTATCAAGGCTCAACCTGGTCTCTATATAAGGTGTGGAATTGTAGGCCCGAATGTATTGGTGAGATTAATCATCGTCCGACCATTTTCCAGAACACGCTGGTAGGAAGTGATAAAAATCCATATAGAATTTGAGAGAAGTGGGAATAATTCGCTTTGGGTGTATATTCAGTCCCCAGAAAGCCAATAAAATCAAATTTGTGAGAAAATTAGCTCTCACGAGTTCAATCTCTCGGAGGCCCTCCTTTTTTACATATTCTGCACAAACGATACTTTCCGCCCCGCCTCATACATATAATTTGGAAGGAGGGTTTAATTGAATACTCTTTAATGCCAAAATGCACAAAACTTAAAAATTCATAAATAACAAAAAAAATCAAAATACACCTTTTAAAGTCGGGTAGATGAATCGAAAATACTCAAGTTGACAGTCCCTTGGATTCTCTTCATCAACTTTCTCTTTGAAATAAATACTACAAATTTGATACGGTTACAAATAAAAAAAGGAAAGAGTTAAGATAATTGATGATTGATCAATTAAAAGAACTAAATGTTCACATTTGTTCTGTCCACTAGCAGTCCTACGTCAAGCTTCCGTTCGTGCCCCTAGGCACAGACCCTTCTACTTTTTTTTTAATTTTTGCATTGAGGTATGAAAAAATGTTTTGTCTAAAGCCAGACAAAAAACCCGAATTTATCCACCTATGGTGTGATCAGACCCTCCTTACTTATTCAAGTTTATTTATTTTATTGTCATTATCAGTGACCAAGCCCCCCACCCCCGTGTCATCCAGTGATGCTACGCCACTGCCTGGGGGTACCCGGAATATATCCGGGTGTAGTCTATTTGGTGAGGCTACCAATCACCTTATCGTCGTATTTTAATGTGATTTAATGGGTTTTAATTCAATTCATAAAGCAACTTCCCCGGGGTACCCGGAACATGTCCAAGTGTGTCCAATGTGGTCTGGAACACTTAACACGACTTGCATTGATCTTATTTTTGAATTCTGTAGTAATTTGATGTGTCGCATGATGGTTTTGATACGTTTTCCGTTAAATCCAGCGTGAAGGTCCATATTCACCGGATCTTATTCCGGTCATATCTCCGGAACAGGTTCACCGATTCCAAAACCGTTCAATGGCGTTCAATGGGACCCCAAGACCTATAATTTGGCGCCGAGTTTGTCCAAATCGGTTGAGCGGTTGCTGAGAAACGTGAGCGCATTCATTTCGTTACATACACACACACATACACACATACACACGTACACACACACAGACATGTTCCGATCTCGTCGAGCTGAGTCGAATGGTATATGACACTCGGCCCTCCGGACCTCGATAGTCGGTTTTTCAAGTGATATCTATACCCTTCTTTGTAAGAAGGGTAAAAACATTGCTGAGCCTGAAAACAACTGGAAATTTGATTGCATCCATGAAATATTTTGTATATCAACCTATTTCAGTCATAATTTATTTTTTAAATTAATCTAAGTCTTGGATTTAATATATTATTTCATAGTTAAAGATCATGATGACTTTCTTGAAAAGGCAGCATTTTGAATTATTTTTATCAAACCGTGAATTTCGGAGTTCCAAGATCTGAAAACTGGAATTTATGAGGTCCTAGAATCTTGAAAAATAAATACTATGTCTAGGATCTTGATTATTTTTCTAAATCCGAGATCTGCATCTTTTACAAATCTGAGATCTGCATCTTGAACAAAAAGATGATTTATCGTATGCATTTCGAAATAACTTAATTTATCACAATCTTAATTCATATACGATCCAACGCATCGACCAGCTTCTAAGATCTCATTAAGCAGTTTACTCAACTTCTATACCGCCGCTCTTCACAAGTCGGTCCCATAGTCGTTTTTGTCAAAACTGAGTGTTTCAATGCAAATGGTAGCTAATCACCGATTTTTTCATAATACTGGATGAACTCAACAACAAAGTTTGGCTGTCCCCATCACACAAGAAACAATGGTACGAATCAAACTTAAAATACGATTATCTCGACTTGATGATTTTCACTGTGGGACGGACATGCGAAGAGCGGTAGTATATAAACGTGACGTTTAGGAATAACCGTAAAACTTGTCACTGATCATGTAATTTTCCGTTGCTCAATGAAACTACTTGAACACAATCTGGAAAATCGAGTAAGTAATCAAGCTACTCCTTGCCGCTTGCTCTTTACAACTGTGCCCTATCAGAATCCTTTGAATCTAAATCTCTAGCAACATCACGCTTTATCTTTCTCTCTCTCTCGAAATTCCATCACCATCAGCTAACGAGCCCTTTATTCGAGACCCATCGACAAGGCGGTATTACCAATCACCTCTCTCTCTCTATGAGTACAAACGCTTCGATCATTGCATATCCCGTAGCAGTCCGCCTCGGCTATGGGAACGTGCTCAAAAGGCTTATCTCCTCAATGATCCACTTGCCCGCGATGGTATTTCGGTACTTTAAATGTGTGTAATAGAGCTTGATATAATTGATAAAAACAATCCACCAAAGTGGCCCACGTGCTTTTGACCCATCGAAGCAAACCGATGCACATAAGCAGATAAGCTTGCTTTTAAAGCCAACGAGCATCGAACGGTTCATTTTGCTACCCTCGGGGCATGCGACGGGTATGGAATGGCGAACGAAAGCGGAGAGAAACCTATCCCATTTTCCTACCACGACGACCATCAACTATTGAATATTACCCCTGTAATTTTTCTCCCATTTCGGTTTTCGGGGAATACCCGAATATGAAATTCGTAACATCACTGCAATTTGGCTCGAAGTGCGATGAAATCAGCAAATTTTCCCCGACTCGCAGCAAGCCATGACGACCGTGGCGACGGCTTATCGCCCAGGTGAGAGAAACGAAACATATGGAAGCAATTTACAAACGCTGATAATAATTCGATTGGCTTATCGCGTAAACTCACCGCATCGAGATCTGTGTCCCAGAGCTCCTTCAGGTCCCCGTCGTCGAAATCCATGTTTAAGTAATCCAGCTTGCAGGCTTTTGTGTAGCGGCCGGCCTCGAAAAGGTCGTCACGCTCCGGTTTTGCACTCTTTTAAAAATCAAAGGAGGAGATCAAAATCCGCACGCACGTTCACTCACTCACTGTATACTGTTGCACTGCTCGCCTCCTTCAGAGGAAGCCCAAAATTCACTGCACTTTGCGCTGTTTCTTCTTCTTCGGGGCTCCTCCGCACCAACGAGCCTCAATTTTCCTCGTTTTAGGCACTCTTTTACTTTATTTACTCTCGACACTCTTCTATAGCCACACTTTGCTCTTGTTTTGCTTCCTGAGTCGCTACCTGGATGGATTTACGTTGTTTCGGTAGACAGTAGTAGCGAACCGAAATTTACTTTCAAAATGAAGTGTGGAAAATAAAACTAAACCACTACTAATTAGCTCTAATTATTTTCTTTCCGTTTTATTTTTACTATACTTTTTTTATATTAAATCACCTCTTCGTTGCTTTTGTATACGGTCTGCTTTCTCAAGCGTGCAGTGCACATTCGTAAGGCATCAGTCGTTACCAAGTTATCTTTACACAAGAAACTACAATACTTTTCTGTGACCAAACAAGGTCCATAAACTGATTTCGATGATTTATTTTTCTTCTATTATTTTTGGTGATTTCTCATAACACTCCAATCACCCAAACACAGCAACCTGTCTCGCGTCTACAGTTTCGAAACTCCCAATCGAAGCATGTCATCCGTAGCCGACCACTTGTTGATTGTATTGAAGGGGAAGAGAGCACGCGTATTCCCCCGATGCCGTCCGTCGTCTACTATGATTGTGTGGAAAGATCACGCACGCACGAAACGCTTGTTGCTTCCAGGCTACTACAATCTGTTGCCGTGCTCCAGATTTACGCCACTCCGCTCCGCTCCGCAAAGCACCAGTCGTTCGCTCGTACACACTCTCGATTTGATTGGTTATCAAAGGCAGAAGAAGGTTACAAGTGGATTCCAACCGGTTCTCTCCAATTTACAGATGCTTTTTTTCTAGTTTTCTTCTCAATTCAGCAATCGGCGGTCAGATTTCCAGCCGCTTTAATTTGGTGTATTTTTCTCCGATTTCTGTTCTCACTCTCAGTCTCACAAAGACGGCCAGAAACAATAGAATAGATGCACGAGGAAACTGAATAAAAGTTTAATGAACTACCAGCAGGGAAGGAAATTAATTACACACTCCACTCTCTATTCTTCGCTAGATTTCTTCCCCCTGTGATCGGACTTCTCGGGGCGCGCGGATATACTCGCGTCACTTCATTCAGCCTGGACGTTCTTTCGCCAACAGAAACTTCTTTTCCAACGCACCACCGATTAAAGTAACAGGAACAACAATACACACTTAACCAAGTAGGCCTTGTCAAAATCAGCACAAATCAATGCTTACTACGATAATGAAAACTACGAATCGATGTTCTATATTCTGGGGATCTAACTGGAACTGGAGAAACGACTCTCACGCTTTCTCCACCGGACTTGGTAACGGGAGGGTACGGACTACTAAACGCTCCAACTTTCAAACTTGGACTAAAATCAGCTCCGCTCCACGGGCTTGGCTTATGCGGCAACGCTGATGACTGGCTCGAGCGTGATAGGTACTATACGTACGGACGGAGTGAGCGACGCGCGAGAAATAAATGCTTTCGAGCTTTCAAGTGAAGCAACAGGCGGTGAATAGCTTGGTGGAGCGTATGCCGGTCAGGGTGGCCAGACGCGGACTCTTCATCCGGGAATGAATGACTAAAGCCGGCAACAATGAATTCTTAACTCTATATTGAGTTCTATTTCGAATAAAGATCACTTATAAATTTAATCCCAAAGATTGTTAGATCATTAGTTCAAGAAATTAATGAAACATTCTAAATTAATACAACCACGCTCTCTTTACAGCCTTTAACCAGTTGAATTTCAAATAAGTGCCGTAATCGGATGAATCATAAACGAATAAGAGAGGAAAAGTTGTCGAGTGAGTGAGCGAACCGTTCATTTGTCGAACATACACATACGCATTTGCTACTAACGCTCCGCTCTCTCTCTCTCTCGCATTTCTTATCACCAGGGGGTGTAATAAAAGTTAATTCATTCACCTACCCGCAAATACCGCTCCTCACAGGATTGTGGTGGGCAGTATGAGCCAGTCAGAAGCATGTCTAATAGACATTCTCTTGCATCCGTGCCCATTGATTCATTGTTGTTCATGAAAATTGGTTATGCTCTGAGAGAGCTTTTAAAAAGCTTTTATGATTATCGCCTAGTGCCAGAGACCGGAGAGTCCGTCCGATGAGTGTGTAGTCGTTTTGTTTATATGTTGCTGTACTCTTCCGATGCAGGTTATGATATGCTGTCGGAAGAGAACAACTAGCCATGTTGTGCTTATTACAGCCGGCAAAATAAAACAGTGCGTCACGAGTTATTCGATGAAAAAATATTCGAATTATCATTAGAACAATCATCGTACATCTTTGCATGCATCCTACATATTTTGATTTTAAAATCGCCAACTTCACTAGGATAACATCTTCATAAAATTTAAAATTTAAATAACCATGCGTTTCCATAGTTTAAAGCAGAAATTAACAGCTAGAATTTCTTATTGCTGGATTCCTTATTGACTGTGGTAGGTAGGTATTAGATTGTCTCGTTTCATTTATAAGCCTATAGGGTAAAGCGCTACTTCGTCGTACACCTGTGTTCAATATAATAGCAGCGCATGCCGATTTCCATACAAAATGGTCAACTTTGACAAGTGATAACTTTGTTCTCTTAAGATCAATTGAGCTGAAACGTTCGCCACAGAACTACAAATATGTTCAATTTTACGATTACAAAATACCAAATTTTTGAAAGCACCTGCCGAAAAGTGAGACACTAGGTAAAATTGTTCAAAATAATAGCAGTATTAATAATTAGAATTTCAGCTCAATTTTAAGATTTTAAATTTTATATTTCTCAAAATTCTAACAATCCCCACCCAATTAACAAATGTACATAAAAGTTAAAAATGTTTAAATATTTGCAGTACATAAAAATTCAAATCAAAAACACCAAATAAACAAAGAAAAAGTAAAGCACGACCGCAAATTTGAAGTAGGATTACGTGCTCGGTATCAATATTCGGCGACTGTGTTAGGGAAAGCAATTTTCCCATCATGAAAACGCCTCGTTTTCTGATGAAAAAAAAAATACGTATTTACGTGCACAAAACGCACGGAATTGTTTTAATCAGTAGCTAATAAAAAAGCGTGGAATTTCTTGCTAATATTTTCCAATCGCGAGATATTCGCAATCAAACATATAAATTCGAGATTTTTTTGCTTTTTTCAAGCGTCCTAGAGAAAACCTTACCTTCGATGTGTTTCTTGTTAATTAAAGGTTTTTAACGTATTTTTGATCCCGTATTACAAGCCCGGAAAAAATGCAATACTTTTTAATGGACTTAAAAAAGCACTCTTGATTCAGCAACAAGATTTTTTCTCGATGTTTGAGCAAATAGCTCAGATATTTCAAATTTCTCGTCTTTCAGAAAACGTCTAGAGCTTCTACACACAAAAAATTATCGCCAATAAAATTAAAAAAAACCATTGGTAGAATTATCGCCTAACAACATCCGGGACGCCTACTTTTCAGTACATTGGAGGACCCCGAGCCCCCCATCACAGTCGAGCACATCCAGCCATCGTTCAGCAGTCGTCCCGGCCCTGTGTTTGGGTCAGGTGAAGGGGTCCTCCAGCCTGCACTGTCAGGCAAGTATCCACTTCTCTCAACTTGTTCCCTGCATAATGGTTCTCCGAGTTTCAGCGAACGTGCAGCATGTGACAATGACGTGATTGCTAGTATTGACGACGATGCCCATTCAACCGATCAGTTTACATCCATCTACTACCAAAACGTAAGAGGCCTGCGCACCAAAACGAACGAGCTGCGATTGCTTCTATCGAGCTGCGACTACGATGTTATCGTGCTAACAGAGACTTGGCTGCGACAAGACATAAAGGATGGAGAACTGTCGTCAAATTATGCAATTTTCAGATGCGATCGTAGTGAACTTACGAGCCAACTATCGAGGGGTGGTGGTGTACTAATCGCCGTCAAAACGAGTCATCAGTGCTGCGCAGTATCAGTGGCCGACTGTGAGCAGCTTGAGCAGACCGTTGTGCGGTTACAACTAAAAAACCGTTCGGTATACGTCTTTGGAATATACCTTCGACCAAATTCCAGTCCTGAAATGTACTCTGCTCACGCCGACGCAATCCGAAAGGTTTGCGATAAACTTCAAGACGATGACGTTGTTCTAGCGTTAGGCGACTATAATCTTCCCGGACTCTGCTGGCGCTTCGATGGCGATATCAATGGTCATTTACCATCAAACGCCTCAACAGAACAAGAACTTGCGCTTACCGAGCCGATATTTGCATGGGGTTTGGTTCAGATCAACTCTTTAGTGAACGTCAATGGCAGGACTCTCGATCTTGCATTCGCTAACGCTCCGGACTATATTGAGCTAATTGACCCTCCAGTTCCGCTCCTGAAAATTGACCCCTATCACAAGCCATTTCTCCTACGACTCGATACTCATTACACTACGAGGAATCACGCCAGCGCTCAAATGGGTGTAACCTATCTAGACTTCAGAAGATGTGACGTAAACCTAGTGAATAACGAACTTTCGGCTGTTGATGCATACTCTCACTGTTGAATCGACCCTCGATAGACGAAACTGTGTCCGTTTTCTATGATAAACTGCACAGGATCTTTGACAAGGTTGTTCCTCGCCGTCACTGCACTTCCAACGCGGTAAACAGAAAACCCTGGTGGACAGGGGAATTACGTCAACAACGCAACAGGCTTCGTAAGGCTCGTAATCGTTTTTTCAGTGTGAGATCAGACGAGAACAAGAACAACCTCCGTAACATCGAAAGCAGCTACAACGAACTCCTTGCATCGACCTATGAAGCATACGTCAACAATCTCCAGTCAAACTTGAAGCAGAACCCCGCATCGTTCTGGAAGTTCGTCAGGGACAGCAAAGCAAACAAACGCATTCCCTGCAATGTCGAATATGAAGGAGTGACAGCTGCAACACCTAGTGAATCTGCAACTCTATTCGCTGACTTTCTCAAAAGTGTGTTCAGTACTTCTCCACCGATTCCTCTTCCCGGAAGTTTCCAGCGAGTGCCATCGTACGACGTGAACCTGCCTACTGTATGTATCTCTCCAGAGGAGGTACTGAAATTATTGAACGACCTGGATGTTTCGAAGGGAGCAGGTGTAGACGGATTGCCTCCTTCCATTATCAAAGCTTGTGCATTAAAACTAGTGACGCCCGTAACCTTGATATTTAACCAATCGCTATCAAAAGGTGAATTTCCAACCATGTGGAAAACTGCTAAAATGGTGCCAATCCACAAAACTGGCAATCTAAATCGAGTAGAAAATTACAGAGGCATTTCGATACTTTGCTGCCTCGGTAAGGTTTTCGAGAAACTGGTGCACCAGTTTTTGTACAATGCATCTAGACCGTTAATATGCGAGTTCCAGCATGGTTTCGTGGAACGGCGATCAACAACGACCAATTTGATGTGCTACACAAACACTCTGTTCCACGAAGTCGAGGCTCGTAGTCAGGTTGACTCAGTCTACGTGGACTTCTCTAAAGCATTTGACACCGTACCACACATCCATATCACTGAGAAACTTCTGCACATGGGCTTCCCGATTTGGATCATTGAGTGGCTCAAATCTTATCTAACAAATCGCAAAGCTTTTGTTCAAATCGAGACTGAAGAGTCATCAGTTTTCGACGTAACCTCTGGAGTACCTCAAGGAAGTGTGCTAGGACCACTTATTTTCATTCTGTACATCAATGACCTTGGTCTCCGCTTATCGTCTGGCAAATCTTTCTTCGCAGACGATTTTAAACTATTCAGGGTAATTGCATCGGTCTTGGACTGTGCTGCCATACAAAACGACATTGACGAATTGTTGAAATGGTGCGAAGAGAACGGGATGAACGTTAACATAAAAAAATGTAAAGCGATTTCATTCACACGTTGCCGCACTGTGTTGAAATACAGCTATAAGATCGGGCCCTCTACCCTGGAACGTGTAGATTCTATTCGTGACTTAGGTGTTATATTGGACAGCAAACTGAGATTCAACGAACAAATCTCTACAACAGCTGCAAAGGCCTTTGCTGTCCTAGGATACATTCGACGCCATGCAGCCTTCATCACCGACGCTTATGCTTTGAAGGCGTTATTTTGCTCATTGGTACGAAGCATACTTGAATACGCCGCACCTGTTTGGACACCGTATCAATCTACACTAGCCAGCAAATTAGAACGAGTTCAGAAATACTTCGTTCGGTTTGCTCTCCGCCACCTACCATGGAACAATGAAACACACCTGCCTCCATATACCTCACGCTGCTTATTACTTGACTTGGAAACGCTGTCTGCCAGACGCCTGAAATTGCAGCGTATCTTCATCTTCGACATTCTTACGGATCGCATCGACTGCCCTGCGCTGCGTCAGCTTGTCAACTTCAACGCTCCATCTCGTTCACTTCGAACTCACGCTGCGCTTTACGTACCTCATCACAGAACAAGCTATAGACATAACAACCCTCTGAGTACCTGTATACGTGCTTTCAACACTGT